ACCCCCTCCCTGGCGCGCGGAGCGCGCCAGGGGCGGCACCAGAGGCGCCGCCAGGGGGGTCACGCGCCGATCCGAGACATCCGCGCGGACCTCCGAGTTTTGATATTTTGTCATTGCTTGTTTCCCTAAAACAAGAAAAGTCCTGGTCTTGGGCCCTGGTCGTGATCTCTACGATTCTGCAGTGATGCTGCGTGGCGTTAGAGATCGGGATATGGTGGCGTGGCGGCGGCAGCCCGCCCCGACCCCGCGGGGGTTGCAGCGGCGCTGTCGCGCTGCAGCGGCAGGTGCTGTTTGTTTCCCCCCCTCCTGCGGGCAAGGCGCATGCCGATGCTTACATTATTTTTGATAGTATTTTTTGAGCATGCTTCAGTTTCCGTCCAAAATCCGTCTGTGAGGGACATGCCCGACCTAATACTAGTACCATGTTTGCGCTGCCCAACCAGGGGCGACGCGCGCACCGAGAAATCTTAGTAGTATATGATGCGCTTTCTGGCCACTCCGCTCGGGAAACGATCTGCTTCAAGATGGGTATACTATGTGTTCGGGTCGGACGCGCGCCTCCACGGAGGACATAGCGTACTAGTATGTCTATGTGCGTCCCATCCACGGCGTCTCGGAGCTTCGGGCTCCCTTCCCCAGACACCCGAGTTGCAGTGGATCTGGATCAGCAATCTTAGCCCCAGAGGCCAGATGTGTCTGTCCATGTCCACTGCGCTTCGGCCTTGTTTGGCGTCCCTGCCCAAGAGGGTCCAAGATGCAGGGGGATACGCACGGATAGAAAAGCTGGCCGCACTGGTCTGTCAGATACTTCCTTTCGGTGCTGCTGGATATTTGCTTTGGTATAGTGGCATCGCTCGGACGTGTGCACTGTTTCCTCGGCGAAGACCATCGAGAAACACCCTTGATAATCCTGCCAAAAAGTACACGCACGAAGCCAACACAGGGAATGGACGCCCGAGGGATGGCAAGTGCAGATCGAGCCCGCATCTTTCTTCCTTGGCGGCGCTGGCTAACGCGAGCGCGACCGCAAAGCCGACGGGCCGCGCAGTTCTCGGTTCCAGGTCTCGCAGATGGGGTCGAGCAGATGGGGTCGGAGGATCGCACACCGTCGCCGAGGCATCGGCGATGCGGCTTGATGTGGAGCCCGACTTCCTCGACGCCGCCGGCGCCGCCGCACGGCCGAGGCATCGGCGATGCGGCGCGATCCTCCGACCCCATCGATCCGGATCCCATCCAGGAGGCCACTATTTTTGGTCTCGCTCGGAAGTGTGCATGTTTCTTCGGCGAGGACGATCGAGAAGCATCTTGGAGGATCATCCTGCGAAAAATACCCACACGAAATCGAAAAATACACGGGGAATGGACGTCCTTGCGAGTCCACAGCAAAAGAGCACCAGCAGCAGTACAGTCAACACTGCTAGTTTTGGCATCGCTCGGACGTATGCATTTTCTCTCGACGGGGGCTTTCGAGGAGCATTTTGGGGGCGTCTTGCGAAAAAGAACACGCACGAAACCGGCAAATGCACAGGGAATGGCTGTCCGAGCGCTGGCGAGTTGTAAGGATGAACGATTTCCCAAGGGTACCCTTGCATCCTTGCCTCTTCGGGCATCCTCGGCTCCGTCCTCAACCCCGGTCGATGGCCAGCCAGCCCCGCTCGAAAAGTGTCGGCATGGGCGTCCACGGCCCTTGCAACCGCATGACGCATCCTTCCTATCAGCTGTAATTGCACCTGCCCCCCACCCCGTCGCTGGACGCGTCTGCCCCTGCCCCGCCCCTGCCGCTCGCGTCCCACGTGGAGCGCCGGCGGCGGCCCAGAATCGGTCGATGCTGAACGATCTGACGTTGCAGAAACGGCCGATCGTTGAAGGTTGAATGATCCTCTCGGTGACGGGAACCCACGCCGAAGTCGACACCACGAACCTTCCGTACATGCCCCCCGCCGCGTCGCTGGACACGTCGGGGGGGGTGGACCATGACAGCCACTGCCCCACCCGTCCCCGCGGGCAGATGAACAGCGGCGGCAACAGAAGGAGAATTCGGGCGACGAGATCTATACACATCCACTGCTTCCTGGCCAGGCCCATTATGGATCCAGCAGGAGTTGTGTGTACGCCCTTCTGGCTAGGTCAGGAGGGCGTGGCGTATACACTGCTGCTTGGTCCAGGATGAGCCTGGCCAGGGAGCAGTGGACATGTGTAGATTCATCGCCCTGAGAATTGGGGCGTCTCGTCGCTGGGGGTCAAGTGTGGATGCCTTGGCCTTTTGTGCAGGCATCTCCAGGACACTTTTTGTGCCTCGGTTGCTCGCCACTGCCTTGGTGGTATCCCTGGTGAACCTTGACTGGCGGATGGAAGGTGTGTGCTTGCACGCTATTCACCAGAACCTCCGCCCGCCCGCCGTCATCATCATCATCATCATCATCATCATCATCATCATCATCAGCATCAGCATCAGCATCATCATCACCATCATGAGCATTAGCATCCTCGTTATCATCATTACCACCACCACCACCACCATCATCATCATCATCATCATCATCATCATCATCATCATCATCATCATCATCACCATCACCATCACCATCACCAGCATCATCATCGTCACCATCATCATTACCACCACCACCATCATCATCATCATCATCATCATCATCACCAGCATCATCATTATCATCGGCACCATCATCACCATCATCACCATCATTACCATCATCATCACCATCACCATCACACCATCATCAGCATCGTCATCACCATAGTCACCATCACCAGCATCATCAGCATCATCAGCATCATCGTAATAATCACCACCATCATCATCATCATCATCACCACCACCATCATCATCATCATCATCATCATCATCATCATCATCATCATCATCATCATCATCATCATCATCTTCATCGTCATTTTTACCTGTTCCACCACAGCGGCATCGTCATATACTTTGCGCTTCGACATGCGCGCGGTGATGGCACGGAGACGGCGCGGTGCGACGGAGGAGGATGGCCAGGGAGATGAACGAGGACTGCGGCAGCGCGGCGCGCCAGTCGGGCTTCGCAGCCGATCGCCGCGAAAGCACCCACGAGCAGCAACAGTCACCGAGCGCGCTCCGCTACTCACAAAGTGCCTACTCGCAAACGTCTGGAAAAAACACGTGTGCGTTTCGATGTAGTGTATCGCAAATCCCCCCCCCATGGCAGATCCAGGCCATTTGCGAGTAGTTACTTTGTGTTTAGAGGAACGGGCTTGTCTAAACAGCACACCGCCGTCAGCGCTGGCTGCATCGGACCAACGAAACAAACAACACGCGAATACACATGGTTCGGCCGTCCCAAGCGCCTCCCCGAGGGGCGGCCGAGCGCGGGGGGGGGGCGATCCTCCCCTTCCCTCTGGACGTCTGGAGGGGCGACGAGGGCGACGGCCGAGGCGACGAGATTGCAACGAAGACGCAGCGACGACGACGACGACGACGGCGGCGACGACGGCGACGAAACGACGACGACGACGAAACGACGGCGACGAAACGACGGCGGCGACAAAACGGCGACGACGGCGACGACGACGACGAAGCGACGGCGGCGACTAAACGACGACGACGACGGCGACGGCGGCGACGACGAAACGACGAAAACTTCGCATCGCGGCGCTGTCGCGGCGCGGCGCCCGTCAGGCGGCGGGCGCGGAGGCCCCGCGCGACGCGCGGCGGCACCGACGGACCGCGGAGGACGCCGGCCTGCCCTTCGCTCGGCCCCCCTTGCGAGGGGGGTGGCGTCGGGGGAGGATCGGGCCGGACGAAAGGGGGGGGTTACGAAATTGGCTGCATGCAGCTGGTTTCGGCCCCACCGAGAGGCCCATTCCTCGATACATGGGGCGCCTCTCGGCGCCGGGAGGCGCCGGGAGAATCAGCTACGTGAGTTGATTCTCAAACCCCCCCTTTGCTATCCCCCCCGTTCGCCCGGCCCCAGAGGAGAAGTCACCGAGCGCGTTCGCGGGACGAGTCGGGCGAGGAGGATAGCGATGCCGAGGAGGACGATGATGAGGAGGAGGAGGAGGAGGAGGAGGAGGAGGAGGAGGAGGAGGAGGAAGGACTCGCAAACGTTCGAATCATATACGTATGCTTCTTCTGATGTAACGGATCCAGGCCATGTGCGAGGAGTTTCTGTGCGAGTGGTGGCGCGCGCTGGTCTGAGAAGATGCTGTGATGCAGCCGACGTTGGGGGGCTCGGCCAGCCCTTGGTCGAGGAAGCAGTCGGGCGTTGCAGTTCCCCGGGGCTCCCCGCCAGGAAGTCCGCCCGGGGCCCTCCCCTGCGAAGGGAGGCTCCTCCTCCTCCTCCTCCGCCTCCTCCTCCTTCTCCTCCCCCTCCTCCTCCTTCTCCTCCTCCTCGCCTTCCCCCACGCACCCCTCACCCGATCCCCCCACTGCCGCGATCCCCCCCTCGGAGTGCATGCCTCCGCCCGCCCTCCCCGCCTCCCTCCCCTCCTTAAGGGGGGTCCTCTCAGAGGACATGTTGTTGGGGAGCTCGTGGGCAGCCTCGGGGCCTCTCGTGACTCTGACTCGTGGTTCCGCCCAGTCTGTCTGTGCTGTTCCTGGAGGCGTCCGGGGGTGGGGCCTCCTTCCGTCCCACGTCCGAGACCTCCCTCTTGCCGCCCACCCCTGGAGTTCCCCGGACCCCCCCCTCTCAGGGGGGCAGGGGGGGGGGCAAGGGCAAGGGCAAGGGCAAGGGCGCCCTCGAGGGCTCGAAGTTACTCGCGCTTCGCGGTTCGGCTCCGATTCCCCCTCAACGGGGGTCAGCCAGAGCGCTGGATGGTTGCAGGCCCCTGCAGAGCCAGGGGTGCATTGGCCCAGGCTAGCGCGTAGCCCCGGGCCAGAGCGGGATGTGACAGTATCTTGCACAGCACGGCTGGCACGGGTTGGCATTGACCAGGGTCAGTGCGTCCCCGACCCCTTGCAGCCTGCTTCCTTTCCTTGCCGATCTCCTGGGATAGTGCAGGGGGTCCATGACTTTATTGAAGTGGGAGGGCGTGGACGGGGAGGAGAGCTGGATCAGGGAGCTCGTCCAATGGCCTTGGGGAACAGCAGTGAGAAGCAGAGTAGGAAGACGGATGCACAGAAAGAGAGAGAGAGAGAGAAAACAGAGAGAGAGAGAGAGATAGAGGGAGAGAGGAAGAGGAAGAATGGGGAGGGCTAGAGAGGAAGTCGGACGAGAGGGACGAACGGGAAAGAGACACAGACAGAGGCGAGAAGAGTGGATGTTTCAAGAAGTCGGGAAGCCACGCGGAGGGCAAAGGGAAGAGAGCAGAGGAGGACAGGAATTTCATGCCAAGGAGGGGAGCTCACAGAAGAAAAAAATCGGAGCAGCAGGGGGGAGGGCAATGGAGGGGGGGGATGAGGCCGAGCTGGAGGGTCGGGAAGGGTGGTGATACAAGGGGACGTGGAGTGAGGGCAGAGGCTGGGCAATTTTCGTGCGCTGCCCTGGTACTTCTCTGGTCCGCGAAGCCCCTTCCCATCCTCTTCTCCGCCGAGCACGTCGCCAGCACACCTCCGCCTCCTCCCTTTTTCTCCGCGGGGGCGGCCGAGAAAGGGGGTAGATGACTAAGTGGGGGGGGGGTATCTCCTGGCCAGGGCCACGATGTCTCCCCTTATTTCGATCTCGATGCGCTCCCTGGCCCCCCCCCTGGGCCGCGCTCATGCCTCGGGCCATGATGTGCACCCCCCTCTTGGATTGACGCCCCCCTCTTGGACGCCCCCGACCTCCTCCCTCCGCCCGCCCCTTCCCTCCTCACGCCTCCCTCGAAAACCACTCAACATGAGTACGGCTCTCCCCTCTCCCCGGACCGTGCGGAAGTTTTCCCGCCCTCTCGGCACAGTGCTTCTTGCGCATTGGATTGCGGGCTTCCGGGGTTTCGTCTGGCTTGTGGTTTACAGTCCGGTCGTTGTCGGTCCTCCAAACTGGTGCCGCGGCTGCAGCGTGGGCCTCGTTTTAGGATCGTTGCTCTGATCCCACTTGTTCTGAATCCGAGTCATTCCTCATCGTTGTCGCTCCCCTTCGTTCCCGCCCTCCGCCTTCCCCTTGTCCTCCTGCTCCTCCCGCTCCTTGCACTCCAACTGCTGCTGCTGCTGCTGCTGCTGCTGCTCGTCCTCGTCCTCCTCCCTCCCCCTCCTCTGAGGGGGTTTTGTAGCAGCAGTAAGCAGAGGAGGTGGACGGGCCCCGAAGGTAGATTCCAGATTCCAGCTTCCTCCTCATCCTCCTTTCCTCATGTTGAACCAACCTCACCGAATTTGCGCAGCTCCTCGTGTGGGAGGTGTTTGGATGTCAGATTTGGCGCGAAGAGTGCAGCTAGCTCGCCACCCTTTTCCCTCTCCCTCCTCCCCCGTCCCTTCTCCCTCTTACAGCCGGGTCTGGTCAGTAGGCCGACCATGCAACATACAGGGTGCGCCTATGTACCGCGAGCCCTGCCTTCTTGACTCCTGGCGCATGGAATGCCCTCGGAAGAGGTTGGCGTACTCTCGAGTCTCGGGTGTCCTGTCGGGTGTCCTTTGCGATCAGTCCTTATTGGATTGTTCCCCCGCCCTGCGTCCTGTCCCTCTCCTGTCTCCTCTCGAGCTCTTCTTCTTACCCTCCAGTGCCGACGCCCGCGCTTTCTCTCGATTTCCCAGCAGGACGTCGAGATGACCAATCACTTGCAGGCCGACATGTCCTCCGAGTTCGCTCCCGAGCCTGCGCTGGAGGCCGTACGCGCGGGGGTGAGGGGGGAGGTGACGCCAAGGGGTGGAGGCGGCGGAGGAATGGGGCATGGGTTGCTGGGGGTGGGCAGGGTGATGCGTTACACATTTCGGCGGCGGGCCCGAGGGGGAGGTGATCAGGGGCGGGCCTTCTCACAAGGCTCGGAAGGCCTCCGGGCTTTCTGAGATGTTTTCTAGGCCTGCTCCCCAGACCCCCGACGTCATGATTTTTTCATGACTTCGACCCCCAGGCGTCTCGACCCATTCTCCCAGACCGGCTTTTCATCCTGAGTCGTTTGTTGACTGTCCCGCAACCCGGTGAGGGTCCCCACACGCCGACAAAATCGAAAACCCGCCGTCATGTTTTTTTCATTGCTCGAGGGGGTCTGGGCCCGAAGGTGCAGCATCCTTCTGAGAAGGCCTCCGGCCTTCTGATCCGGACGCCCGACATGGGTACGGAAAGACTGGGTACACAGCCCAACTGCAGTTCCTGCTCATTTTGAACAGGACTTGCTGTCCACGCCGCCGCGGCCTGTGTCCACTCGAGACAGAAGGCCGCCTGCCCAACAGCGGCCGCTGTTGGTTTGGGACAACATGTGTTGTTGGGCATTGTACCAATGATTTCCGTGCCCAGCTCGGGCGTCCAAATCTGAGGAGCCCCGCCGCCTTCTCTGAGGAGGCCTGCTGCTCCTCCTCACCCCGGGCGCGCCGCCGCCCGGCGCCCTCGGAGCTGCGCGGGGCGTGCCGCATGTGCCACGCACGGCGTCCACGGAGCGTGGCGCACGCGGGAGAGAGCCGCTGGCGCAGCTGCCCACCTCCGCAAAAGGGGGGGCCGTACGTGGATGGGCCAATGTTCCACCACCACTACCACTGGTATAGGACGGGGGAGAAGGGAGGATGGAGAGGTCCTCCTCCTCCTCCTCATCCTCCTCCTCCTCCTCCTCCTCCTCCTCCTCCTCTCTCCTACCTGTGGTAGTGGTGGTGGAACGTCGGCCCATCAGTACATGGAACACGCGGACGGGGCGGGCGTTGGAGTGGCGGGCCGCTGTTGTTTTGGAGGGAGGCTCCTCTGGGCCTCACCTGCGTTTTCCTGTTGCACCCACTGCATGTCTGGGCGCTGTTGGGGCCAACAGTCGAAGAAGAACAAATGCCATAAACATAAACTTTTGGCGCTCCGCGCGGATTTCTTGGATCCGCGCTGGGCCCCCCTGGCTGCGCTTCCGGCACCGCCCCTGGCGCGCTCCGCGCGCCAGGGAGGGGGGTCAGCGCAGATCCAAGAAATCTACGCGGACCGTTGACAGTTTATTCGTATGCCATGTTTATTGTTCTGAACAAAGGTCAGCCACGCGCAGAGGGGGAGGGGAGAGGCTTCTTAGAAACACCCCTGCTTCTCAGAAGGCGCGGGCCTTTATCCGTAAGGGCTTCGCCCCATGCCGCCGGCCCCCTGTCTCGGATAATGGGAGTTGCAGAAGCTAAATCATGAGGTCTGGGCGCCGCCGTGAAGCAGTGTCGGGACCCGTTTGTTTTTCGACCCTGACCCTACGGATCTGCGTGAGAGGTGCCACCGAGTTTCAGAAATGTAGCAAATTTCTTTGTTTTTGGACCCTGACCCTGTCGATCCGCGTGAGGGTGCCGCGGAATTTCAGAAATGTAGCAAATCCCATATGTTTTTGGACCCTGACCCTGTCGATCCGCGTGAGGGTGCCACCGAATTTCAAAAATGTTGGGAATCCCATATGTTTTTTGACCCTGACCCCGCCGATCTGCGTGAGGGGTGCCACAATTTTTTTATAAATGTGGCAACTCCCTTGTGCTTTTGGACCCTCACCCCGCCGATTTGCGTGAGGGGTGCCACCGAATTTTACAAAGGTGGCACATCCCTTGTGTTTTTGGACCCTCACCCCGCCGATTTGCGTGAGGGGTGCCAGCGAATTTCAGAAATGTGGCAAATCTTTGTGTTCTTGCACCCTGACCCCGCCGACCTGCGTGAGGGGTGCCACCGAATGTCAGAAATGTAACAAATCCTATGTGTTTTGGGACCCTGATCCGGCCGATCTTCGTGAGGGGTGTCAGCAAATTTCAGAAATGTGGACCTTGACCCCGCCGATCTGCGTGAGGGGTGCCAGCGAATTTTAGAAATGTGGCAAATCCCATGTGTCTTTGGACCCTGACCCCACCCATCTGCGTGAGGGGTGTTAACTTGTATCGACCCCAGCAATTCAGAGCACACGCCCAGGGCGTGCTAAACCTGCCTGTTTAGGCCTCCCCCCCCTCGCGCGGTCTATCAACAAGGAGCAGTAAGCAGCAAGAAGCATACATAACTGTAACAGTGGAAACTGGAAGCTGCAACTGGTACAGGAAACTGCGAACCTTTGCCCTACAGCCTGGTGGCCCCACAAGGGGGCTGGCGGATATCTATGAATGTAGAGCTGGCGCTCTCTAAGGAGCAGCCTTGCCCCAGAAAGGGCATAGGCCCAGGTTTCTCTTTCATTGGTAAACCAAATGCCGGGCCTCGACTTGCGTAGGGTCGGCGAACTTATTCTGCGATGAATGACGAAGTCGCGTAGGGCCAGCGAATTGAAAGTTGACAATGAAAATTTGACGCAAATGGTAAAGTACGGATTTTGGTTTGCTGTGGGTTTCTCCAGCGAAACGCTTGTTTTGAACAAGTTGTTGAGGACGTCTCGAGAGAAACGCTTGTGTTATGTGATAGAGTGGTCCTCTCCTGGGGACCAGAATTCAGAGGATCTCTCAGGTGAAATGCTTTCTTTTCACATACCCATGCCTTGAGGACTTCTCGAGCGAGACGCTTGGTTTCAAACGTCCAGGCTTCCCGGGCAGATGTCTAGCATGAGAATTTGTTGAGGATGTCTCATTCGAGACGCTCGCTTCAATGCTTCCAGGTCGCCCAGGTATATAGATTTCTAACATTAGGATTTGTTGAGGATTGCTCGAGTGAGACGCTTGGTTTCACTTGCTCAGGTCGCCCAGGCGGATGTCTAGCATGAGTATGTGTTGAGAACGTCTTGAGCAAGACGCTTGTTTTCACTTGTTCAGGTCGCCCAGGCGGAGGTCTAACATGGAGATGGTTTGAGGATGTCTCGAGCGAAACGCTTGGTTTCACGCGTCCAGGTCGCCCAGGCGATTGTCTAGCATGAGGATGTGTTGAAGATGTGTTGAGCGAAACGTTTGTGTTCACGTGCCCAGGTCGCCCAGGCGGATGTTTAACATGCAGATGGTTTGAGAACGTCTCGAGATGCTTAGCATGAGGATGCGTTGAGGATGTGTTGAGCAAAACGCTTGTGTTCACGCGTCCGGGTCGCACAGGCGGATGTCTAGCATGAGGATTTGGGCAGCATGTCTTGAGAGCAACGCTTGCTTGTTTTCACGTGTCCAGGGTGCCCTGGCAGATGTCTAGCATCACGTCCCCTAGTACGCCACTCGGCGTGGCACGTTCCCTGGCTCGTTCTATATCGCGTTTCTTGGAGCGTAACGTGGCGGTTCCCTTGCCCGTTCCGTGGCGCGCCCTTTGCAGCGTGCCTTGGCATTACGCCTTAGTGTGCTTCACGCTTGTTTCGATCTGGGACGGACAGGGGCCCACGTGTTTTCACGTGTGTCCCGCTCTGGCGCGAACGGGACCCACGCTTCTTCACGCCTGTTTCGCTCTGGCGCGAAAGGGACCCATGTGTTTTCACGTGTGTCCCGCTCTAGCGCGAATGGGGCCAACGCGTTTTCTTGTTTGTTCCTCTCTGACGCGAAAGGGACCCACGTGTTTTTACACGTGTTCCGCCCTGGGGCGAACGGAACCCACGTGTGTCATGCTTGTTCCGCTCTGACGCGAAAGGGACCCACGTGTTTTCATAGTTGTTCCGCTCTGTGGCGACTGTTTCCCATGTGTTTCTCGTTTGTCCCTTTTTGGGGTGAAATGGGGCCACGTGTTTTCACGTTTGCTCCCCTCTGTGTCGAAAGGGACCCGCGTGTTTTCACGTTTGTTCCAGGTCGCCCAGGCGGTACTCTAGCATAAGGATGTGTTGAGGATGGCTCGAGCGAGCCGTTGGTTTTCACGTGTCCAGGTCGCCCAGGCGAATCATTCACATGAGAATATGGTGGCGATGTCTGCACCGAAACGCTCGTTCTGCAGGATCAGCTGAGGATGTCTCGAGCGGGGGCCTCGTCTGCAACGAACGCCTCCCTCTGCAGGATGTTTTGAGGATGCCTCTTGCCAGACGCTCGCATTGCATTGTTTGAGGGGGAGTCGTGCGGGGGCCTTGTCGTCGTCTGGGTGCGTTTTGTTTCGGCTCGGATTCGCCCCCCGATCGTCTTGTCTCATTTCGGAACTGAAACAGGTCTTGAGTTTGAGCTGGTTGAACGCCCCGCACGTTAGGACTGCAGCCAGGGATATGATGCCAAGGACGACCAGATCCACAACGAAATAGAGCACAACATAGTTCAAAGCGGCATGGCGCTTTTCAAGTAATCTCAGCGCATGACAGCTCCTAGCACGGTACATTACCATGGATACCTCGAGCATTACATTTGCACATGATCGACCAGTGCGAAGAAAATAACTAGCATGAGGAGGACGAGGAGGAGGAGGAGGAGGAGGAGGAGGAGGACGTGGAGGATGAGGAGGCATTGTCGTCGTCGTCGTCGTCGCCGTAAGCACGCGGGCCACGTCCGCTGAAATTATGGTTTGCACAACCCTGGGTTCGTGGCATCCTGCCTGCGGGCCCTGCTGCAATGCCGGTTCAAGGCCAGAAGCCGCGACCGGTTGTTTCGCCACAGTCGCCGCGGCCAGCAAAAAACTCTTGCTGTCCGGACGACGCAGCGGACGTGACGCTCGCGTTGGCCATGCTCCACGGATACACGCTGGTAGAGAACCGCGAGCGCAAGTTCTCGACTGGGTGGCACGCGCTGCGCGTTGGACTCCAAGACACAGTGCGCGCCAAGCGCGTCGTTGACATGCACCCCGCACTCCTACAGGGCAACGAGGCAGATTACTTCAGGGCGCGGTCGTTGGTCGCGTGCACGTCGCCAAACACCCCGCAAAAAGGAAAAGTGCAATGGGCACGCGTGGGCGATTGGGCCTTCACGCAATGTGCTCTCAGCTTCCGCGTTGCTCGACCACCCAGTGGCAGCGCAGCGCGGGGAAATCAAGATCAGCGGCCACTGCCCGCGAATGTGCGGGACGACGTTGCGGAGCAACTCCGCAATTGCGACCGCGTGCCGACTTTCTTCGACATCGGCGCGTTCACGGCGATTGCTTGATGCCGCCTCTTCTGACCGGGTTTGCTGCCGATTCCGAACAGCGCGGGCGTTTGCACCCGCGGGCTCATCCTTTGCAGCTCCATAGCGCGGTGAGCCCAGAAATGAGTCAGCAGACAGTGGGCTCGAGTTGGCGGCGTTCCCTTCGCTTCCACTTGGATCTGCTCGGGGTGAGCCAGACGCCTGGGCAGCTCGAGCTGGAGATCCACGTCAGTTGGTCGTGCTTCAGACGCCGAGGACGACCTGATCCAAGCGTCGAATCTGATTCCCGATTCCAGGGTTCAGGCCGACGCCGTCAGATTTGCCCCTGCGCAATTCTCGCCCCTCGCACCTCTGCCCGGCGCTGCTTCCGCGGTGTCAGTTGGGCGGGGCCCCGCAATGCCGGGCGTGCGCCGTCAATTTCGCAGCAGCCCGTCCTCGCCCTGACCCGGCATCGCACCCGCAGGGTCAGCCCGGACAGGCCTCGGTTGCCCCGCGATCCGCCGCGCGCCTCCAGCCGTTGTGACATCGGAGCGCCGATTTGTTCAACAGTGGCGCTGACACTTCGCGCGTTTCCTCGTTTTTTCTCCACCGCCCGTCGCAGTCGCGCTCGGTTCGCTCCACTGCGGCTTCAAAACTGAATCGGATTTTGAGCTCGAGCCTGCCGGGCACCCCGCGCGTCTCGACTGCGACTCGCCCGAACTATGCATTCAGGCAGTTCGGTCGCGATTCTGGCGCCGAGGAATACGCGTTTTTTTACAATGCAATAGGGCGCAGCACGGTTCAACGCGGCGCGACACGTTGATTTCGGCGCAGCACGGCAGAGCACGGCGCAGTGCAGCACAGCCCGTGGCACATTACATCACGGATTTTATCGTAAGCATTTCTAGTGTCCGTCGCCCAAAATTGAAATTGCGAAAACGATTCCATGCTTCGCATTTCTACATGTGTTTTTGGATTTCGTGGGTCGATCATGTTTCTGCGAGCCGCGGAAAAGGTTTTCGTTCTTTGCCAACCAGTCGTTTAAACAAGGCGTGCGTGGACCACGTGTTTCGAAGGAACGTTTTCCGCCGCTATTGGCACGGCCCCCTTCTTTGATTCGAACCTGGCAGGCGGGAGGCAGGGGAAACAACCTCCCACTCCGAACCGGCGGGGGGGGATGCGTGCTCCTTCCCTCTGGCTCAGACCCTGGGGGGGAGGCCCCATCACGCCTGGATCCAGCCGCGGTAGGTTGATTAGAGCTGGATCTAGCCTGTGCAGGATTGCGCTCAAGCTGGATCGAACCCAAATTTTCGCATTGTATCTGGATCGGGCCTTGCGTTGTCGGACGATCAGAGTCGGACTGGGTGTTCGTAGGATCTATGAGCGCCCCGAGTAGGATAGGATTCGATTCGAGCTGGATCGAGCTCAAGTAGCAGGATTCGAGTAGAGCTGGACCGATCGTTTTTGTAGGTTTGAATTGAAGCTGGATTCAGCCACAGTAAGAAGGTTTCTTCACGAGCCGAATCCAGTCCTAGTGCGGAATCGATTACAGCCAGTACGAACCGCCCCCCCCCAGTTCGAGTGGGGGGGGCAAAAGTCCCCCTTCCAGTCTCCATGGGCGGGGGGGGATTTTGCACCCCCGCCCCGGTTTCTTCGAGATGGGGGGGATTTTTATCCCAGTCGTCAAGCGACGGTCGACCGCGCTCCCTTCCAGTTTCCAACGACGCCGTCGGCCCGGCACCTCCTTGGGGCCTCTGGTCGAAAACCTCCGCGCCTCTCTTGGGGGCCCCGGGGCACCTCTGCAGGAGGGCTTGAGCAGGGCCGACGGTCAGAGAGCGCTGTCCTCTGCAGGGCCACCGAAGCAGGAACGTCAAGGTGGTCAAACGCTTCGCTTGTTCAGCCGACGAAGCTGTGCAGCATCCAGCAATTCGTTTATGTCTAGTTGTTTGGCTTGACGCCCCGTGTGGTGCATTAATTTCAGCTTGACCGAACATGGAGATTGCGCCCCATGACGTCCGTGTGGGGTGTTCTGCAGACCTGACCCCCAGCCCTACTCAAAGGCGGACCCCTCTTACCGCACGCGCCGCTTGGGGGGGAGGCGCCCCGCAGCGCTGGGTCACCCTGGGGGCTCAGGATCGGAGGACGAACAGGTAATTACCGTACCGCCACCCTTCGCCAGTTTTCCCCTTTTTCGGGGCCTCCTTGGAAGCTCTCGTCCGCACCGCTGGATTCGCCTCGAAATCCTTGTCAGAAGTCACCCCGGGAGAGGTCGTGGGAGTGGCGGTATCGGCTTCCCGCAGGAGGCCTCGCGGGAGACCTCGGACGCCTCCCCGCCCCTCCTGGGGACCCCCCCGGGGCACCTTTGCATGCGGAGGGCCCCCCCCAAACCGCGCCGCTTTTTGGGGAAGGGGGTCGAAGAAGAAAGACCGGCATAAGCATACATTGTCCTAATACATTTTCCTAGCACCGCGCGGATGTCTCGGATCGACGCCGGCCCCGCCCGCCCCCCAGCGGCGCCTCCAGCGCTTCCCCCGGCGCGATGAGGGAGGGGAGTCCAGCGTTGTAACAGGCTGAGGGGGCGCGAACAGTCCTTCCTTTTAAATATCCTAAGTTTGGAACATGTGTGAGGCCAATGCTGTGACGATGTTCAAGCTCAACATTGCTGGAGTCCTGAAGTCAGGAAGAAGTTCGGAACAAGTTCGGCGACGAGAAACAAGGGTCGGGAAATGTTTGGCGGCGAGAAACAAGTTCGAATAAGTTCCAACATCTGCAACAAAGTGAGAAGCAGTTCAAACGTTCATAAACAAGGTCAAAGAAGTGCCACACAAGTTTAAACACAGTTAAAACGAAATCACATGTCCAGGCAAGTTCAAGAGATCTGAAATTCAAAAGTTTGGAAAATGTCGTCGTGGTGCCAGGGAGCCGTCTTGAACTCATTTCGAACTTGGGGTTCGAGCTCGAACTTTTGATGTTCACTCTGCCCGAATCCAAACCCGAAATTAACATTCTTCATCAGGGAAGACCATCTCTCCCCCCATCAGCCGGCTACAAGTGCAGCGTCGATCCAAGAAACTCGCGCGGAGTTCCGAACGTTTCTGTTAGCGTGCTGTTGTCTTTGCCTCAGCTGTCGAGTGTGATTAGTAGGTCGACCCTCGCAATGCAAAGGCACCCTTGTGTCCTGTGTTTCGTGCGCCCCATGTCATCCGCATTCCTGGCACAAAATGTGACCCTCGGGAGGGTCTCTTGTTTTCCTTCTCGTGCCCTCTCCAATCGAACTCCACTCCCAGATCATTGGACACTGATCGGCGACCGATCGTCACTCCAAATCGGTCGCGACCGATCGACACCGATCCCAGAGTCGGTCGCGACGGAGCGCCACCGATCGCGACCGATTGTTCGCGACCGATACCGACATTTGAAGCAAAATCGGTAGCGACCGTTCTCGTCGGCCGCGATTGGAAAATCCCAGCATCCAGTGATCAGGGCTGGAGGGGGGGGAAGCGTGGCGACAGCGGCCAGGACGGCGGCGTGTGGGACTTCTCCGGGGACGCGCCCACCTTCGCCACGCCGACCGGGCCGCAGCCGGAGGCGGTGCCCATCGGCCTGCTCTCCGCGGGCGGCGGCGGCCACCTTCCAGAGGCCCGGCGCGGGGGCGGGGGCTGTCGGACCGCCTCTGGGGTCGGAGTTTTGCGGGGTCGGAGGATCGCACTGCATCGCCGATGCGTCGGCAGTGCGGCTCGATGCGGAGCCCGATTTCCTCCACGCCGACGTCGCCGATGCAGCGCCGGAGGCGCAAGTGCATCGCTGGTGCATCGCCGATGCATCGGCGATGCGGCGGGATCCTCCGACCCCATCTACTCGGACCCCATTTAGGAGGCCTCTATATGCGGGCGGCGGCGCAGGCTGTGCCTGGCTCTGCGACCTCTTGCGAAGCCTCTCCTTGTGGGTCCCATCGGCGCTCGGGTAATTTTTGTTGGCATCCCTGGGACGTGTGCACCTTTTCTCTGCGAGGACCATCGAGGAGCATCATGGAACGTTTTTGGCAGCGGAAAATATGCACACAACCGAAACATGCACGGGGAATGGACGTCCGAGCGATGGCATGGTATCGAGCGCACCCTCGCTGGGGTCCCCTTGGCTGCAGGCATCCCCCGAGAGCTGAGCCCCAGTTTCTTGTGACCTTCTCCAGTCAGACCTGCAGGGGTAGGGCATCGTTGCCACTGCAGCGCGCGGTTGCACACTGTGACTGCCCCTGAGGGGGCAGACACCGCCGCCGAACCGTTCTTGCAACCCGGAGGCCGTGTGAGGGTAGTGCAGGTGGACCAGCGAGCCCCAACGGCATTGGAGGCTTGCCCCGCTCGGTGTGAACGCCCCTGAGGGGGCAGACACCGCCGCCGAACCGTTCTTGCAACCCGCAGGCCGTGTGTGGGTATACCGCAGGTGGACCAGCGAGCCCCAACAGGACTGGAGGCTTGCCCCGCTCGGCGTGACCGGCTTTTTTAAGCGCTCGGCGGAGGCCCTCTCGGTTGTGGGGCGTTTTGGCGGAAAAGCCGTGCACCTCCTTGCTTGCCGCATGCATGCGGATGGCTACGCGCCAGAGCCACGAGCTGCTGGCGTGGACAGGCTGCGCGCGATTGCACATTGTTTCAATCGCTTCGCGCATTCTGCCCGGCCAGTTCGCACCACTGTGGCTGCGTGGTGGTGTGCTCGTGCCCAGGGGGAACGGCAGGGCAGGCAGGAAAACAGTTTTCAGGCCTCGGAGCCTCCTGGGGGCTTCTTGAGGCCTCTTGGGGCTTCCTGGGGGCCTGTTAGGGGTCTTGGAAGCCTCTTTGGGGGCCTTTTGGGGCCTCTTGGGGGCTCTTGGGGGCGCCTGGGGGCTTCCTGGGCGCCTCTTGGTGCCGAGAGCTCGAAATGTCTGTTTTGGTTCCCCCTCTGGGCCTCCTCTTGGGACGTGGCGCCGCCTTGGAGGCCTCTTGGGCCGTCTTTGGGCCATCTTGGGCCAGTTGGGGGCCCTTGGAGCGATATTGGGGCCTCTTCAGTCGTCCTGGGCGATCGGCAGCTCGAAAAGGCGCTACCGCCCAAATCCTCGGGAAATCCCAAGGAAATCATAAATGTTTGCGTCCTTGGGGCCTCTCGAAGTCTTCTTGGATCCCTCCTGGCGCGTCTTGGGTGCTTCTTGGGCCGTTTTGGGACCAACGCGGGCCATCTTGGAACGCTCTTGGCCTGAGGCCGCGGGGCCGGCCACCCATTTGGCGCCTCATTGGGGCGCCCCGGGGGCCCCCGAGGCCGCGCCCAAGAGGTCCGGCATCTCTGCCGAGACCTTGCCGGTGTGCTTTCCTTCCAGGGACCCCCAGGGGCCGCCACGTGCGTGCGAACCAGAAACATGATTCAACTCTTACGGGGGTTGTTAGCACGCCTCTGGCCTGTTGGGCCAGCGAATTCGCAAGAGTTGTTGCGGATGCGCACGCATGCATGTATGCATCATTGCGTAAATGTGTTGCGACACGTGGCCGCCGAGGTTCGAATCTAGAAGTCGCCAGCGACACTTCCTGGAGCCAGGCGGAACAAATTGCGCGACCACAGCTTGAGAGCTCTTTTGTTCCATCGTGCCTCTCTGTCCGGAATCAGACCACTGCAGGGGTACTATATATATCAGGGTTCTTGGACGGGGCAAGGACGAGGATCAATCCGTTCCAGAGCTTGCCGGATCGCTCTCAGAGCGTTCCGGAACGCTCTGGGGAGGCCGCGGCCCCCGAGACATCCTCGAGAACCGCCGGATCTCAGAGATTCGGGTTTGAGTTTCACCTGATGTTGTCCTCCTCCTGGCTTCGTCTTGCGTAGGTCGGGTTCGCATGTGGCCGCCTGCGCCCGCACGCCGTCCAGGAGCGGGGAGATCTCGCGCTGCCGCCTGCCTTCACATTCATTGAGAACAAAAGGGCCCCCAACCCTGGTGACACGATGAAGACGTGGCCTCACTGAGGTCCCCGTGTTTGCACTAGGGATTCTATATATCTGGGCGGTTTGGTCTGGCGCATCTGCAGAAAGCACCCCCCATCCCTATCGGTTCTGGCCCTCCTGATTCAGGAGCCCTCCCATTGGGTTGGGGGATCCGGTTTGCTTGATCTCAAGAGATGGTGAGATCTCGCGCTTCCGCCTGCCTGCCGCCCCCGGCGGCAGGCCCGCGGAGGCGCGAAGGGTGCAGTCCAGGCGGGGGCGGAAGGGTCCAGCTCGGGCTCCCGGAGCTGCAGTCGGACCGAGGCGGGAGCGCGAGGTCGGCGCGGGGAGGGCACCTTCGGCGGCAAGCCAGGGGGGGGGGAAGTGAGAAGGGGAAGGCCTCCTCAAAGGGTGGCGGGACTTCTCAGAAGCCCCCGCGCCTTCTGAGAAGTTGTCCGTGTCTTCTCAGAAGGGCCGGGGGACATCCGAGCCTTCTGAGAAGGCCCGCCCGTTCTCACTTCCCCTTGCGCTCGCCGCCAAACCCTGGTGTGTGTTCGTGCTTGCCTGCATGCTCTTGCGCATCCTGGGTCGAACAGGGGATCGACTACATAATTGGTTTGCCCCAGCCCTGATTTGTTCGCCGAGTCCACGAAGCATGCGTACAAGGCTCCTGCATCTATGGACAGTATACGTATTGTTGGTACGCTCGACGAGAACATTCATTTTCGGGTAAATCAATTCTGTAGTCGATCCCCCAAACGCTGAAGGTCTTTAGTTCTGGTCCCCCCCCCTTTCCTCTCGGCGGTGACTTGGACTGGTCCCCAAACCCCCTCCTCCCTCCTCCTGCTCCTCGTCTTGCGCGGCGGGTGCCGCGGAACAAACAAAAGTGTTCACCCCCCATTTGTGGGACCCCAGTCCTTCCGCACGGCCCCCGAGCAACTTTCATCAGTCACCCCCTATTGGAGGGGGGCTTCCGGAAGACCTTTCAGGGCTGCTCGAGCGCAGGTCCCCCTCCCCGAGGGGGCGCGAACAAAAAAACCATGGCGCCTCTCGCGCCTCGCGGGCTCGGGTCGGAGAGCTGCCTCCCTCCCCCCTTGCCCCGGGGAAGGCGGAGCTGGCGCGGAAGGGGGCGCGACGGGGGGCGCGGAGTCGGGTGGTCGACGCGATACAAAAGAAGGGTGTCGTCTGCGACGACGTTGGCGCGTAAGTTGCCCGCGTAAGGTCGCGCATCGCATAAGCGCTCTCGCTTCAAATGTGGCGTGCCGCGCCAGCCGCCCGCGTAAGCCGCCTCGTAAGGTCGCTACGTCATCTCGCGTAAGATCCGCTTTCGATCTCGCGTGAGACCCGCGGTCGGACCGAGGTCTATAGTCAGCCCGCACAGTAAGGATTGCCTTGCCAAGGGTGACCCCTGGCATCCTTGCCCCATTCGGCCCATCCTTGGCGTTAACATGGCCCGCCAAGGCCTTTGCAGCATCCTTACCGCGCATCCTTATGATAATGGTTGACTGTATAAGATCGAGGTCGCTTCGGGGAGGGTACCCGCCAGATCCCGGGGGAGGGGGTTCAACGTCAGAGGTGCTTGGCCAGCAGGCGGGCCCTCGCCTGCGCACACAGAGGTTTGCAGCAGGGGCTGGTTGGTGGGTTGTTGTGCGCGTGTTGACATCATCCCTACTTGCGGCCGTTTGAGCTCTGCAGGGTCGCGGCGCCCCAGGCTCACGGTCCACCCACAGTGCTGGTAGCCAGCTCTTGCCAGGCAGAGTGCACGTAAGACCCAGGTTGAAGAAGGCATCAGCAGACAGTTAGGGAGGGGCAGCCCCCCCCCACCCCCAAGGGGGAAGAAGGGGGCGGGGTGGACGAGAAAACGTTCTGAACCACTCACGCCCCGAGAGCTGGTGGGACTGCAATACTGGGCGGTGTGGGTGCCAGAAGGGTCCGTTGGCTCCCGACCCCAGGTGGCGCTGTCTTCCAGCCGGACCGAGGTAGAAAGTCGAGGTCGGTTCGTGCAGCGTACTGGAATGTTCTTCGTGTTTGTTGGATGGTCTTGTGCACCCTGGGGAGGGTACCCTTTTTGGATGTTCTGTGTTTTTTGGGGCGGGCGGAGGGTCTCGTGATCTTGGGGGATGTTCTTCCGGCTTAGGTCCGACTATAGTGGAGGTGCCCAGGTTTCCGCGCCGTTCCTCAGGTCTAGGTCGGGGGAGCGTGATCCCTCATATCTTCATCAGATGCTCTTTCTGGGAGGCTACATCCAGCATCGGCGCTGATGGTCGAAATCTGGCACCATCCGGCAGAGATGTCGTGCGAATCCTGTTCAATCTGGCATGATCCTGGGCTTCATCCGGCCTCCTCCAGCTCGACGGCCATCCTAATCGGGTTCAGAGGCCCTTGTCGTTTCCACGAAGGCCTCGTTGAAGTTGCCTCCAGATCTATGTATAGGTATATACATATGTACATATATATATATAAATACATATATACATGTGTACATATATATAGATATGTATCGCATCCCTCGTCCGCCGAGCGGCTCCTGCGGGCACGCCGGGCGACGCTCCATGCGCACCGCGGTTCCCGCGCGGCCCCGAACGTCAACCCCCCCCGAGGAGGAGGAGGAGAAGAGGAGGAGGAGGAGGAGGAGGAGGAGGAGGAGGAGGTGAGGAGGGGAGGGGGAGGGGAGGAGGAGGAGGAGGAGGAGGAGGAGGAGGGAGGAGGAGGAGAGGAGGAGGAGGAGGAGGAGGAGGAGGGAGGAGGAGGGAGGAGGAGGAGGGGGGAGGAGAGGAGGAGGAGGAGGGAGGAGGAGGGGGAGGAGGAGGAGGAAGAGGACGAGGAGGAGGAGGGGAGGAGGGGAAGGGGGGAGGAGGAGGAGGAGGAGGAGGGGAGGAGGAGGAGGAGGAGGAGGAGGAGGAGGGGGAGGAGGAGGAGCCCCCGCGCGGCGCGCCCGCCCCCCCCCCCCCCAGGCGCGCCCGCGGGCCGAGCTCGGCCGCGCTAGCTGAGGAGAAACCCGTGCTTCGGCCCGCGGCGGCCCGCGGCGACGCGTGGGCGCTCGGGGGGAGAAATGATATTGGCGTGTGGAGACCCAGATCTCTGAGGATCTGTTGAGTATGGCCGAGGGTCAGAGAGCGTCTTCCATTGCAGGACCACCAACAAAAGGGACGTCAGGGTGGTGAAACGCCTCGCCTATTAAGCCGACGAGGGATCGCAGAATTCGACCACTCGTTGATGTCCCAAGCTTTGACTGGACGCCGGGCGTGGTGCCTCAATGTCAGCTCGACCGAACAGGTCGGTTGCGCCCCTTGGCGTCCGTTTGGGGTGGTCTGCAGGCCCGACCCCCCCCCCCCGGCCCTGTGCAAAGGATCTGATTCTTCCATATGGGCGTCTGAGGGTTTGGGTTTCCTGTGGACGCCCTGGGTCTCAGGGTTGGGTCTCTCGTGGAAGGTTTCTTGAGGTCGCGCCCCTGCTGCATCATTCAGAAGGGAAAACACACACAGACACAATTAATCGTCGATTCCTTGGGAAATATTGGAACATATGGGAAGTGAGGGGGAAGACGAAAACCCTCAAAATATGTAAACAGATTGGGGATCCTGGTATTTGTGTGTGTATGGATATGTGTGTGTGTGTGTCCTTGGGCCTCTTCAGCATCGTCCTTCAATCTTGGTGCGTTTTCTCCTGATTTCGGCCTCGGGGGCCCGTCGCTGGGCCCCGCGGCCATCACGCCAGCGGCGCCGCGTCGAGAAGCACGACCCCATGGGGCAGGGGCGTCGGACCCGTGGGGGCCGCGGCTGGACGCAGAGGCGTCGGCGCAGAGGTCTGTCGGCGGCGAGCCCCAGGGGGGGGGGGGAAGTGAGAAGGAGAAGGCCTTCTCCTCCTCCTCCTCCTCCTCCTCCTCCTCCTGCTCTGTTTCCTTTTCCTCCTCCTCCTCCTCCTCCTCCCCCTCCTCCTCCGCCTCCTCCTCCTCTCTCCGGTTTTCTCCCTCGGGGGGGGGGTCCTGGCCATTGGCCACTGGATTTTTGGGCGGCGCGCCAGGGGGGGACGTGAGAAGGAGAAGGCCTTCTCAGAAGGCTCGGACGGCCTTCCCTCCCGGAGACACAAAGCTAGCGCTTCTCGGAAGGCCGGAGGGGCTTCCGAGAAGCCCCGCCGCTTGCAGAGGAGGCCTTCTCCTCATATCCCCCTCCCTCGCTCGCCACCGAGTCTGCGGTCCCCAGACTGGGGACGGCGACCCAGACGTCTTGTCTGTCGCGAGTGTTTTTGTTTAGCTCTGCGTCGGCCGTTATAGGAGGTCTTCTCGCCTCGGGGTGCTTGCCAGCAACTGCGCCGCGCTGCGAGGGCGTTCCACGGGGGTGGGGTGGGGGCGCCGTCCCGAACTTCGAGGAGGGCATCGACTGCAGAACTGCTTGGCCCCCAGATTCGCTTTTTGACCGAATGTGCACGTAATGCGTATATAAGGTTCGTGTGTATATATATATATATGTTTATGCACACAAGCATTGTACGCATGGTTTCGTAGATTCGACGGATAAGTTACTGTTGGGGTACATCAATTCTGTAGTCGATTCCCTGCTTGCGAGCTGCGGCCCGAAGAAATGCACACGGACAGGAGACAAGCCATGCCACGGCAGGTTTCTGCCGTTCTCAGCAGGGGGGCCTCGCTGGGCTCCGGGCCCGTCAAAGATTTGGCTCGGGATGAAAAGTCAGTCCTGAGGGACGGGTCGAGATTTTCGGGGACCTGGGTATTGAACGAATCAATTCATGAGATGTTTGAGGATGACAGGAACCGTAGGAGGAAGGGGATGGGACACCACCACCAGCGGGCCACCTCCAGCTTGCAGGCTCACGATTCCTCACCGATCTGGAGATTGCGGAAGTTGCCCTCCAGAGGGCCGGATGAGGATGACATATGGGGAGAACACGTTGCATATTTGGGAGTCGTGTCTGTCCGCTAAGTTGTGGTCGTCTCGGATCCGACGATGGTCCGATGGATCGGCGCAGATTCGACGTGGATTCGGCAATTACTGAGTTGACATAGTTTCGACATGGATGCGACACGGATCCGATGCGGGATCTACATTCGACATGGTTTCATCATATTTTCGCCGCGCATTGTGGAATGATGGGACAAGCAAGTATCTTCGGTGTTGTATCGTAAGGGGTGCGCCAGGAGAAGAATAGGAGAGGATCGAGGAGGTATCCACATGTGTGACAATGCGGAACATCGCCCTGGATGTATGTGGTTCAGGATACATTTTGAGAATTTGGAATTTCCCAGAACCGTCAGAACACGATTGGTGATGAACATTTGCTTTGTAGCGGGCTCGAGAGCTACAGCAGCCTAAGTCGGAGCCCCAGTAGGAGGAGGAGGAGGAGGAGGAGGAGGAGGAGGAGGAGGCGGAGTAAGAGGAGGACGACGAGGAGGGTAATGGAGGATGAGGAAAGGGAACATGAGGAGGAGGAGGAGGAGGAGGAGGAGGAGGAGGAGGAGGAGGAGAGGGTGGAAGAAGGGGAGGAGTCGGAGTCGGAGGAGGAGGAGGAGGAGGAGAAAGAGGAACATGAGAAGGAGGAGGTGGAGGAAGCGGAGGAGAGGGAGCAGGTTGAGGAGCAGGCATTAGCAGGATACCCATTCCTGCTTGGCCGTCGCACCTCCCGCCTCCCATTTTCCATCCCCTCCTCTCCCTGGCCTTCCCCTTGTTCCTCTTTCCCTTCGCCATGCCCATCTCCGCCTTCCCTTGCCTCGTCCTCATCCCCTTCCCTCTTCCCTTCGCCGTGGCCACGTTCCCCTTTCCTCCCCTCCTCCGCCCCTTTCTCCCACACCCTCCTTGGCCCCCTTCCGTTCCCTCACTTTCCCTCTCCTCTTCCCCGTCTCCCCTCCTCCCCCCCTCACGATTACTCAATATGAATACCACTCTCCTCTCTTCCCTGGTGACGTCTGGGAAATGTCCGGCTTTCCTCCGCGTATTGTTTTTTTACAGGATTCCCAGAAGTTGGGTTTTCATGCTGCTCTCGCTGAAGCGCTCGCCTCATTTTCGGGCTACCACTTGTTTGGAACCGTGTTTCCGCTGCAGCGTTGGCGTCATTATTTTTCAGCGCCTTGCCACGGCATGGTTTTCGGTCCTTCCAAATAGGCCTCAAATCTAAAATATTACCCCCCGAGCGAACCATCTGAAGTGATTCCACATTCGATGTCGATTCGTCGATTTTTGGGGCCGCAGAAGCCCCCCCCTGCTTTGGGGCTTCGCCACGCTATGCTATGTCAGGCTACGCGTCCTCCGCATCGCGTTGCCGCTGCAGCGCTGGCGTCATTATTTCCAGCTCCAGCGGGAAAACGCTGATTCGACTTGCCCCCGGGAGGGGTCGAGGGGCCCAGTGTGAGCCGATTGTTCAAGGAAGCCAGACCATCGAGCCTGGCAGCCTGCCGCACCATTCCCTAACATCCGTCCTCGCCCGCCGCATCTTCCCCCGCCACCGCCGTCGTCGTCGTCTGCGTCGTTGTCGCCGTCGGCAATTTCTGTGCGTTCCGTGGAGCTTCCGGAAGTCTTCGGGCCATCCGCCACGCTTCGTGCAGAGCTGTCCGGGGAGCCCAGGGAGACTTGGATGGGGGCTCGGGAAACGCAAGGCAGCGTGTCGAAAGGAAGGGGGAGGCCTTCCGCTATTACAATACCCCTACCAGACGGCATTTCGCATTCGAAAGCGCCCACATCGGGCAGGCACGGTTGCGCAGGACATGGGACCGGGTTTTTGTACAGGCCTTCTCCTTTCGTACACGAGCCATTTACCTTCCAAGGCATCCGGTGCCATGCCATGGCATGCAATGCGGTGTTGCGTTGTGCTCCGCTGTGCGATGCCATGCTTCGCAATGTTACTCTCTGTGATGCAACGCTACACTACGAAATGCCAAGCCATACTATGACACGCTCTGCTCTGCCGCGCTCTTCTACACCGTGATATGCCGTGTTTTACCATGCATCGCAAACCCTCTCGGGATCATTGCCTTGCTCGACATCCGCCTGTGCAGAAAGAGGACATCTGCGACATGGTAAGGGTTGGGAGGGAGGGGTATGACGACAGATATGACGCGAGCGCATCTAGCTTGCCTCTTCCCCCTTTCCACTGCCTCCTCCCCTTTCCACTGCCTTCTCCCCTTCCCTTCCCCCTGCCCCCTTCCCCCTTCCCTCCCTTTCCCCCTTGTCTTCGCCATGGCCACTTCTGCATGCCGGTGCGGGTCATCGAGTGCGGGAAGCAGTGAGGGGGGCGATTCGGGGACCTCCTTTTGCGATGCGGCCGCGCTTGGGCCACAACTCCCAGCAACGCCGTTTCCGCGGGGGTTGTCCGCCTTGAGCTACCAGTCCATGGGATGACCAGTGGAGCCCCCGTGATCTTGTTCCTTCCCATTGTGCAGACTAGAGTGGATCGCTCCGTGCGCTCGCCCGTGAAAGCACGCTCTGTGTGTCTGCAAGGGCCCCCCCACTTCCCCGCCGCGCCAGAGAGTCCCAGAGCGGCCCCAGAGGGGCGCCAAGAGAGCCCCCATCATGGCCCGAGAGGGCCCCGAGTCTGCCTTAGGCGGGCACGCGACGGCCCAGGATGCTCCCAAGAGGGCCCAGGTACGGCGCAGGGCTGCTCAGCGTGCTGCCACGATGGCCCAAAAGGGCCCCGACCCACAAAGCGCATGTGTGCTGTATGTGAGTGGTGACATGTACGTTCATGCATATGTATATAGATGTGGATTGCACCACGTACTTCGCACCACATGGCGTATAATATATATATATATATAGATATGTATAGATGTTCCTATACTGCGCCACGTGGATTGCATTCCATAGTTTGCACCACATAGCTTACACCACAGTGTTTTAACCAAGTAGCTTTATTGACAGACAGTTCACCACACACTCGGATTGGACCACATTGCTCATACCATCAAGTACCAAACCGCTTCCCCCACAGCTGACACATCGTCTGCGCACAAACTCAGTTCTTGGCATCCACGATAGCATGC